CCGGACTCGTTACCCTTCCACTGCACAAAGCAGGAGCTGTTCGTTGCTATGTAAAACCAGCCTCACGTTGTCCAACCCACTCTAAGAGACAAGCAGTCCATACTTCCGTCTGGACTGGCACGTTATCCTTCCACTGCACAAAGCAGGAGCTGTTCGTTGCTATGTAAAACCAGCCTCACGTTGTCCACCCCACTCTAAGAGACTAGCAGTCCATACTTCCATCTGGACCGGCTCGTTATCCTTCCACAAAGCTGGAGCTGTTCGTTGCTATGTAAAACCAGCCTCACGCTGTCCACCCCACTCTATTTGCCAAAAATTGGACCAAAATACTCCAAACTAAAACACAAAACAGCTTCAGCAAACGCTATTTTACTTCGAAGGTTTAACAAGTGAAACGAATTATGAGCTTAATTATATTGCTTTAAAAGCAGTTGATGTAACTATTTTCTGTGTGATATAGCATGAAATTGTTAGGACCAAAATAATCAAGTGTCATTGTGGAAGCTAACAAAAGAAATCTCAATAAAGATCATGAATAAGAAGACACACGAGAAACATATCAAACGAGACACAAACATTTAACGTGGTTCGGTCAACCACATGAGGAGATGAACAATCCATTATATTAAAGCTAGAGTACACAATATCGAGAGAAATAACCTCACACAATTCGCTTGGAATAAAAAGAGGTGCACACAACTGTTAACGTAAGATATGTATCTCACAAATTTTCCCCTTACACAAAACTCTCAAACCCCCTAGGACTACATTGTGAATGCTACCAAGTAAAAAGGAATAAATCTATATTTATAAAGTCATAGCCATTATTAAGGGGGGGGGGGGGGGGGACATGGTTTACTACTACTAGATAACACAAGTTTTGACATGAATTCATAGTGAGAGAAGCTTCAAATTCAAAGAACTTCAAAAGGAAAGTATAGTAGAGTTTTCTGCCTATTAAAATATGCATACTCTTTCAACAAGCTTGAATGGTAAACTTGGCCAAGCCAATTATTAATGAAAAAAAGTGGTGGTTTAATTAAGCAGCTAATCAGGTTTTTGTTGAACTTGAAGAGCACTGGCTCATTATCCTTCCACTGCACAGAGCGGGAGCTGTTCGTTGCTCTGTGAAACCAGCCTCACGTAGTCCACCCCACTCTAAGAGCCAAGCAGCCCATACTTTCGTCTGGACCACGTGACTCAACTCCGTGCTTGGATAGGGCAGGCCAGACTAATGCCAACCAAAGTCCAGCCATCAAGAACAGCCTAACATCCCACCACATTGTTGCCCCCACTTAGGTTACAAGCCCACGTTACAAGGCTCGGCATTTAGATGTGTTATGTCATCATTATATATATTAACAAAAGTCATCATTCACAAACGATGTGGGAAAAAAAAAAATGTTATGAGTAACCTTTATTTATTTATATAAGTACCTTTGGAAGTTAATTAAAATTGAATCTAGACAGATCTATCATATATTTTATTGAACATTTAGATATATTTCATGCGTAGAAAGTGCTGCAAGAATTTCAATTGAATTGGTTATAATTCAATCTCTATTTAGACCTTTCTCTATTTACAAATAATTGGACAAAAGTACTCCAAATTAAAATACGAAACAACTCCAACAAACGATATTGAAATTTGAAGGATCAACAAGTGAAACTCAACAATCTTTCACATGAATGGGAAATGACTATATTGTGAAAGTATGCATGAAAAATATGCATGATAGTAAGGATTAATCGCATTTGGTTAAAGTTATTTTCCCTTTTAATTTTTTCGTTGTGAACATACACTGGGTATACTTGATCAATCGGTAAATTTGATATCCTTAAACCGTCGAGCTTTGATCCCTAAATAACATATGTCACACAATTAACATTTAATTGTTCTTGATTCTCATTGTTGTGTTCGTTTTAGTCATGAACACCACATTATTTCATGTGTATATAGAGAATTGACCTTTCACTAATTCTCCTTTAAGTGGCTTATACTTCACACTCACATAGGTGATTTCGAAATGTGTGACCCGTAGATACATTGTTTGATCATGTCATGTCAAATTTATAAATCATTAAAAATTTGTTTCCTTGTTTTCTAAACATTGTCGTATAATGAGAATGGATTTAATTTAGTGACAATGTTGAACCGTCATTCATAACGTTGTTAGATCTCTTTGAAGCTAGATTTTGAAATCTCCAGCTAGGTAAAGTTACCATTATGATGACTTGTTCTCGGCCATAACCCTTCTCTAGTTAGGCCTTTGGTAAGTGATACTCGCACATTATTCTTTGACTTTATGTAGTTAATTAATGTGATAATTTCACTAGAGAGTAATTGTCTAACGATACTATGCCTTCAATTCTTCATCATATGTGATGAGACTCTACTTTATACATAACATTTTTAGCCGTTCTTATTGCATCTTGAATATCATAACGTATATATAGAGTAGTCAAAATGTAGGTGCGAACACGCCTGTTCACAAAAGGTAATATCTTTTCATTTCAAAAAATTTCGCAAATTCTAAATAAATCGTGTAAACTGTAGGAAAGTAAATATTCATGAATTTTAAATTAAATTCCACATAAATTAATATCAGAAAAAGAACAAAATTTTATCAATCAATCAGAAGTAGAGCTGTCAAAATGGGTTTGGCCCGCTAGGCCGGCCTAACCCAACCCTTGAATTAAATGGGTTTGGGCCTAATTTTTTTGGCCCATTTAGGAACGAGGCTTTTTAGCCCAACCTCATTTGACCCGCTAGCCTCGTAGTCCCAACCCACAAGCCTCAGAGGCCAGCCCATGGGCTATGAATATTTAAAAATATTTTTTAGATTATATTTTTAGTAGTGTTTTATTTATAAAGTTTTTATCAATAAATATTTTAGAAAATCAAGTCTTTTAAACTAGCTAGTTTTTTGTGGGAGGAATGGTGGAATGATCAACATTTTTCCGCTAAATTTACGTTGACTATTATGTATTTTTGTAAGTATTCACCGAAGTGTGTGATTCATAAATGTACTTTTGTAAGTATTCACCGAAGTGTGTGATTCATAAATGTACTTTTGTAAGTATTCACCGAAGTGTGATTCATAAATGAAAATTTGTATGTATTGATGTTGTGTTCATAGACGTCAACGTTCAATACTCTTAGATACTCTTTCTAAGAGAGTAATATTATTTATTTTTTTGTTGAAGGGCCAACCCATCCCAACCCGTGGCCCGCTTAGGGCTGAGTTGAGCTGCTATTTTATAAGCCCTTAAATTAAAAGGGTCAACCCGTCCCAACACATTTAACTCTCTAACCCGTTAGGGTTGGATTGAGTTGGGTTGGGCTAACCCATTTTGACTGCTCTAATCAGAAGTAATTCTATATATAAGCACAAAAATTTTCCATCTTCCTCGTCAATGAGAGAAAAATAATATTTTATTTTCCTCCATTTTATTTTTAATCATTTCTCAATTCACATTACACCCTATCTTTAAATTATTATTTTTTAAAGATCATAAATTATACCTACTTGTATCTATTTAGCGATCGTATTTCATTGTTACTATCTTTATATATGCCTACAAATTTCCTTGCGGTTGTCAATTCAAGTCGTACACGACATTTCTTTCTTTAGGCCTAGCTGTTTTTTTTTGTTCTTTCTTTTAATCCTTTTTTTAATTTTATTTTTCGTTTTGTCTTTTTTTCTCTTAATTTCTTTTTTCCTTTTTTCGTGGTTAGTTTATCTTCTTTTTATATTTTTGTCCTTTTCTCTTCTTTTATTTTTGTCTTTATTTTATTTTAAGATAAAATATCAATTAACTATATTAGACTAATATAAATATCTAAAAATAAATAATTAGACTACTAATGTCACTAATTATGCATAGAATTTTGTAATTAGTTTAGTGGATAGAGATGTAAATGGGAAGGGGGAGCTAATTAGTTTGTTTTATATCTGATAACTTAACTATGTATTTGTTTTTTGTATAAATTATAGGAACCACATATTATAACTACTAAATAACATCCTATCCCTTCTAGTTTTCTATTTACCAAAAATCCCTTAAAAATGATGTTTGCGAGATACATAGCGTTGTGCACGGGATACATTAGGTTTGATACATTTTACATAGCGGGATACATAGCGTTGTGCACGGGATACATGTGGGATACATAGCGTTGTGCACGGGATACATGCGGGATACATAGCGTTGTGCACGGGATACATAGCGTTTGATACATTTCACATAGCGGGATACATAGCGTTGTGCACGGGATACATAGGTAAATAAGGGATTTTTGAAATTTTTGAAATAAGTAGGGATAAATGGATATTAAGGTAAGTAAAGGAGTGTAGTTAAGTAATTTGTCCTTGTTTTTTTCCATTTTACAATTTGGAGAACTAAATCTAATTAAGTTGAATAATGAGAACTTGATTAAAGGAAAAATAATGTTCTTAATTTCATAGTTTGCCACTCAAAAAATCGTATACTTTAAAAGTAAATGAACTAATTAAGCAGTTATTCAATAACACATGCATTCCCACTACTTCTTCATATAGAAGGGAATGAGGAGACTAGCCTCATTACTTCCCACCGGTGAAAGGTGCACCTAACTCCACCTACTCACTCATCATCAATAACGATATTCAGCTAAGACTTGCACTAGTAGACACCTATTGTATTGGAATCAAACGCCCATCTTTTTACTGTTGTCAATGAATCTCTTCCACAATCAATCCTACTCTACGTTAGATCATTTCTATGAATACTATTCTGATCTAAGTAGTCTTATTTTTTATCCCGTGCTAGGAAGCATTACTCCTCTTTATTCCAATCCGAAAATCGGAGAATTGAGGCTTAACATGATTTCATAGTAAGAGAAATAAAACTTCAAAAGGAAAATAGTAGAGGCTTTTGCACATTAAGTTACATAATGCTTCAACACACTTAACTTCCATTACATAGAACTTCAAAAGGGAAATAGTACATACTGCTTCAACAAACCAAACTTCAAATACACACAACTTCAAAAGGGAAATAGTATAGGCTTCTACCTATTAATTTTACATACTGCTTCAATAAGTCTGCAAACTAGAGTAGAGAATTCTTATAAGAATTCATTTATTCTTCAAACATAGAGTTTTAAGCTTTGTAATTCCTCACACCATTTCATACTTCCTGACTTCAGCATAAGTTACAGACTGGACAGGAAGAACTCAAAACGAGCCATTTATCAAGGCATGCAGCGTGAAACTGCAAAAAAAAAGAAAAAAAGATGAGTGAACACTGACAAGAGTGCGAAATACAAGACCGTGATTAAGTTTGTGGATTAGAATAAGAAGTGGTGTCAAGATCAGTACTTTTAGAAAATATTTTCAGCAGATTGGCAATGTAGTAGCGTGTTTCCTTAATTTCCAAATTACTGGGGTTTATTCAAGCTTCAAAGATAAGGAACTGGTAATTATAGTCGATTACATTGAGTGAATTTTATCCATAATCGTTGAAATATAGCTTCAACTCAGATCTAAGTCCACCATACTGTGATTTAGGGAAATGGTTGAACGTGATCTATTATAGAGGAAGGAAGAAAATATTAGATAGAATAGGAAGAAACCTGATGGATACATGGAAAGCAACAAACAAGGTCTCCCTCAATAACTGGCTCCAAACAAATATTACATATCAATTCATCAGATGAACCATCGTCGTCTGGCATACCTATTGTCATAGATTCCTGCTTCATTTGAAAGGAGCATATTATAAATACTGAGAACAAAACCAAATGTTTTAAGCAAGTTGAATGGAGGATTTCATAAAAACAAGCACAGAAGAAGAACACAAAAGGACTAGAAAAATATATGATAGGACAAGTATATCGTGGAGCTAGAAAAATATATCTCATTAACGGGCTGCATATACAGATATCATGAGAGTTTTAGGTCTTTTCCCCTCCCCCTCTCTTGAAAATCTAAGGCAAATAGCTGTGAGAGAATTGATTTTTTACATTACTGCTTCTGGATTTGCAAATATTATCCAATAAAGGAAGACGACAAGCAACTAAGGGAAAACAAGGGGCAGCTAAAATAGACGTGAAGAGGTCACCAAGCTATATATAGTATTGTGGCATAACCCTTGAGCATATGAAAGAAATTACCTGGTCTAAGGCTAAGGCTGAGGTTGAAGAAGATGAGGCCTGTTTCGGTGGTGCATCCTCACTGCAGGAAAGACCAATACAGAACGTCCATAAAAATTTCAATGCAAAACTGTCCATAAAACTTTCAATACAAATAAACTCATCGAAAAGTACACATTTTTCAACTTAACATTTGGTTCTTCAAACAAACTAGATGAATGCACAAGTCATGATCTCTTTGTTGCAGTTTCATATTTCCAACTTTTTTATTTTCCCCAATCTCAAAAATATATTCAAAAGTTTTTTTTTTTATTGTTAAAAATATATGCAAAAGTATTTGGTAGTTAGCTGAAGGGAATGTGATCAACTAGTATTACTCTAGATTTGAAACCACATGTTTACCTTCAGTTGCTCAATCGTCCTACTCTATGTGCACAAGAATTTAAGTGAATTCTAGGCTTGAGAGAAAAAAGCACGACTTAAAATGCTTGTGACTTACCTCTCTAGACAAGTGTCTTTGCAACTGTGAGCAGGTAAAGCATTTATCTCTTCGTCATTCATGGAGGGAATTCTGAAGATATTAGCAGAAGACAACTCTCCGTAGGTATGGTGTTCTGCACATGGAAACAACCATATAATAAGAAAACAACTGTTTTTATTTTCCTGACAGAATCTTCAAAGGTGAGTATGATAATGATTCCAAGAACACATACACATCAAAACTATTGCTAGAAAAAGTTTTTGCAGATAACACAGCAAACATACCAAACTCATCAACTTCACGATTTAGAAGAGCAATTTGGAGCCTCAGGTCTTGCAATCGTCTTCTGGTGGGAAATGCTTCTAATGGAGGCACATAGTGATGGAGTTCATCACAATCAATCAAGTGGTTAACGGATGCAATCCTTGCTCTGTCTCTAGCTTGACGTATAGAACAAATTTCATATATCATAACGACTAGTATCACCGGGACAACATGTACAGCAATGACGCCCTGCACGTGAAAATTTGACACCATCATGTCAAAATATTATGCCACCAAATGAGTCAAGAAAAATGCTCACTAATATTCAGCTTAAGACTAGGACAGAAGTTACCACAACAACCCATGAGTCATCAGGGGGGCTTATAGCGTAGACGACAAGAGCTGCCAAACAGTTTAATGAATGGATAATTAATAGATAGAAACCACATAAAGAATTTGCAAGAAAAGAATCATAAAAAATGAGGCAGAAACTTTACCTAGGATAGTCAGAACGACGGATGATAAACTTGTGGGGCTTGAAAAAAAATTACGCTGGTAGTAAAGAAATTGCAGTGTCAAGACAAGACTAGAGTATATACTGGTAAATATTTCTTGACCTCTATACAAGTATATAGAACAAATACTCTGGTTTACAGGAAAAGAATCACCATTTCGGAAAACATGCAAGATAAAGAGTAATGCAAGCAAGTAGCACAGCCATTAAGGATATACGAAAACATCTTGTGCCCTTGGCTGCATCTTTAACAGCTTGATTCAAAGGAAACAAAGGCAAATGCACGGAAATATGCAAGTGCTTAGGGGGCGTTTAACCATGATTTTTTTTTTTACTTTGACTCTGGGAAACAGTTTGGCCATAAAATTCTGGAATTTTAGGAATTTTGAAAAACATCAAAAAGTTGTTTTCACTTTTTTCACTCCAAGTTAATCACAAAAATTCAGAAAACCACTTCAATTTATATTCATGGCCACACATAACTTGGCCAATTTTCAAATATCATTTTTCACTTCTAAGACAAAAACTACTTTATTCAAATACTCACAATTTTTATGGTCAAACTTAATTTAAAATTCTAAACTCATGAGGAGCTAAAAGGAAGCACTTGATAAGGACGACCACAAGTCAAAACAAAAATTACTAAATATTCATCATCATAACTTCTAGAAGAGATCAATGATGAATAAGTAATTCAATTAATTTTTAAAACTATGATTACCACGATCGACATAATGGCCAAGATATCTTGAGCCTTCAGAAAGCTGTACTGTGAGACCCTTACGTTCACTTACAGTGGAAATATCTGCATAATTCAAATTGTCAGATTGTTAGCCCTTAAAAAGTTCCTTCCCGCTATACCCTTTTATCAAAAGCAAGCATGATCAGTCCCGGCCTTAGTTGGAATTTCACAAAGAAGTAGATCAGATCTTTAAAAGTTGAGATAAGTAGTTGCAAATGAGTAACGATAAAATAAAACAGAAATGAAGAACACCGTTGTGTAAAAACAGCTAATTAGTTCAATTTGGGGCCTTGTTATAAGGTTGCCTCATCTACCTTGTTCTAATAATAATGATTGCAGATTATACCAAAATGGTTTCATATTCAAGCACAAAGTCTAAGAGTAATGCTGTAAACGCCCATTCTCCTCAATCTCAACATAGAACTATCTTCTTATAGTTCAAGATGATAAATCATCTCTTTTAGAACTTAGGCATATGCATTGCAATCTGAACCGATGAGGATAAAGATGACTCAAGACGTATCTATTTCAATCTTCAATATGGAAGTTTAGACAAAAAGAGAATTCACTTGATGGCTAGAGTGTAGTGGGAATTGCACTTCTAAGCATTGTGCAATAAATTCATTACCTTAACAAATTGAGATCCCAATAGCACAAACATAACTCAACGGAAGAGTCAAATTGAGTATCGTGGATCTCTGATTTCTTCTTCCTCTACCACAATCACCATCTTAGCCTAGTACATGGTGACACTCAACTAATCTGAAACAGGTCAACATCGTGCTTATACAGGATGTTTTCTTGAAAATTCCTTGCATGAGGGTCGAGCAACTAACAATTTTTCAAGTATACTCATGATTTGTTAATGAAGTACAAACATAATCAAATAGAAGAATAATAAATCAGAAGACCATTCAAGCATAGCATAGGATGATTTACCAAAATGTAAGGCACATTTAAAGAGGAAAAAATTGAGAAATAGGAATAGCAATAAAAGGAAATAGAGATCTAATGAACCTTAAAAGAGAAAGAGAATATCTCCAATGCCAGAAGACACAATGAAGAACAGCATCAAGGAATCCGAACTTTATATATCAATGTTGTCGGTGTTGGTACAGTGTTCTGTTTGTCTGATTCGCTGCCTTAAGGTATCTTTTGCATGAACCTTATCATCATTAGATCAGCACATGTCGGCATTGCATCTATACAAAAAAAAAACTACCATGAAAATTTCCACACGCAACAAGAATATTGAATATAGGCTTTAGAAAGATACACTAGCTACTCCACACTACTCTTTTGAACACGACAAAACTAATAATAATCTTTTTTTCATTAGTAAAAAACTAAAAATATTCTTTTAGGGCGAGGAATCCGATTGGCAAAAACCTTTGGGTAATTCAGAAATGCCTGTATTAGCAAAAACTTGTGTTTCCTTATATACAAATATTTTATCAAGGCATCAACCAGTAAATCAACCATGCTTCAGTCCCAAATTAGTTGGGGTCGGCAATACGCACACTACATATCCGCATTCTATTCAGATCCATTTCATCCAAATACTAAATAACCACAAATTAACTATCAATATAAGTTGATATATCTTAATAGGGATTCAAGAACATAAGGAAATACTCGCATGTATAGGAAAAGCTATTTTAGCCCCTTCTTTTTTTTTTATCGGCAGGATAAGCTTATTGATAACCAGCATCAAGTGAGTGTTGGAAAATATGTACAATTAGCATCATTACAAATTGAGTAAAGAGCTAAAAAAAATCAATCTTGGCTTCGACATCATTATCAACTACAACAATAACATACCCAGTGATATCCCACAAGTGAGGTCTAGGGAGAGTAGAATGTATACAGACCTTACCACTATCCTTGTGGATATAGAGAGGTTGTTTCCGAAAGACCTTTAGCTCAAATACAACCTTCGACATCATTAAATGAAGCCATATTGTACCATAAAGAAAGCGTAGAAAAACATTTGTATCGATTATACTAACATATTCCCGTTTGCTCTCTAAATGTCTTGTTTTCCTTTCCTTACGGATGGACAACCAAATGGCCACTGGGATGGCATTCCAGACCTTAACCCCCAAATTGTTGAAGAGAGGTTAAAAATTATTGAAGTAAGTTACTATCTCATCTAAAAGCTTAAGTTGTTAGAGAGAGCACACTCTTATTATTTAACTGTATTCTCAACTCGCCCCCTCATGTGGGGGCCTAATTCTTTTTTCATGGGTTAAGCATGTGAAAGTAATTTTTGATAATGGATGGCGGTGACATTTAATCCTAGGACCTCTCTTATTACAATACCATGTAAAGAAATGAATCTTGAGCCTAATTCAAGCCAAAAAGCTAGCTCACGAGGGGAGGATTGTCCAATGTCATATAAAGAGACCACAAATCCCTTTTTCATCCAATGTGGGACTCTTCAACACTCCACCGTGTTGAACCTCACGCCTAGGTCTAGACATCTAGAGTGTGGGCAATTGATATGGGCATCCAACATCGGTAAACAATAATTGGGATGGGCTGCTCTGATAAAGTGTTGAAGTGTGTGACCATCTCATCTAAAAGTTTAAGTTGCTAGAGAGAGATCACTCTTATTATTGAATTGCATTCTCAACAAATGAATGAAAAGACGGTTGGAATCCTCTGCTTAGCCTTCACAAAGTACTCATATATTGCATAGTTTAAGCCAAGTGAAGCAAGCTACCTTTTCTGGTGCAGCACTCTTCCAGATTGTTTTCTACGACCAGACAGAATTAGGAGAAATGTTTCTGGAGAGAAATTGATAGCCATCTGCAGTTCCTTTCCATGACAACATATCAGGCTTGTGAGTGGTGATAACGTATAAATTAGACAGCTGCTGTAACAGAAAACAAAAATCCTGCAATAATTAACAATCATTGAATGGCCTTCTGAATACAATATTATAGCCCCATTTATTAAAAGCCACAAAGAATGTGCTCACACAAATAAGAAAAAAAAGTCAACAATAATTGCAACATTTATCTCCACTGCCTCAATCCCAATTTAGTTGAGGAGAAATATATAAATATTTTATATCCGTTCAACTTTATCTAGGTCTCTTTTCACTCCCAACAGGAAATAGCTACTCCCTCCGTATCAATTTGTTTGACCCATTTTGACTTGGCACAGAGTTTAAGAAAGTAAAGAAGATTTTTAAATCTCATGGTCTTAAATTAAAGATACGTAGAATGTACCAAAATACCATTTAATCTTGTGGCCTTAAACATGTCTTATAAAAAGTTAGAATTAAAGAGATTCCAAAAAAGGAAAGAGGCATTCTTTTTTAAACGGAGAGAGTAAATATTAACTTGACAATCTAATCAGACATTTGACAAAGTTGTAATCTCTTCAATAAAAATGATGAAATTCTAGCACATGATAAATGGCAAGAATGTGCTCATATGAATATAATAAAAAACAATGGATAAATAAAAAGGTTATCTCCGCTATGCTCTCCGTGTCCCTTTCCTTTCTTCCAGAAATTTTGTACATAAAGATAAACAAGAGAAAGTGTGGTTACCAAAACATTCAGAAAGAGCACACTATGAGGTACCAACATGAGATTGTTTTTCATTGTCTGGTTTAGCAGAGGTGGGAATCAAACCAATCAAGCTAGAACTCATTAGCTATGCATTAATAAATTAGTTCTTTATCCCAAGTTGATAGTCTGTTTAATCTTCTACATTTCCAAGCCCCTCTTTTGTGAATGAGATTTCATAGTAAAGAACACTCGAAGATAGATATCATTAGTCAAATCCTTGCAAAGTTGAATAGCTGATAAGCTATTACCAAGAATGTGCTGTTGAGTCTACTTATATTTCCCCAAAGCATAACTCCTCGCAACGGTCTTACGCCTAGTCCCTCCACACCAAGCAGAAAGGCCAGCTATCACATTCGTTACTTATCTTTCCCAAAAGCAAATGTTGTGTCTATGTCAGCAGTAAGTGTAATTATTGAAACGAACTCCATAAAAAGAACGATATGAATCTAGCACATTTTGATTGCTATATGACAAGACATTAACATCTCATTACTCTACGAGTTGTGTATCTAAAATCTAAAGGTTAAAGATAGATGATCAAGTACCTAATGCGTTCAAAGTTCCAAATTGGAAAAATGCATAAACTGCTCCACCATATTTGACATTAACATACAAATGTCCAACATATAAGCTATGAGTCCACATGCGCCACTTATCTCATGCTGAATCAATGTCGATAATATTTTTATAATATACTCTCTCCATTCCATACCAATTTATGTGACTCAATTTGACTCAACATGGAGTTTACCAGTTTAAGAAAGAAAGAAAGCCTTTTGGTACATGTCATTTTAAACATGTCATACCATTTGCGTGACTACACAAACTTCTTATTTAAGGATAAATTGAGAAGTTTAAAGTTATATAAATGGGGAAAGAATGTACTTTGATTTACTAGATCTACTTAGAGCAAGTCAATTTCCCTAAATACTTTTTTGTTTTATGAGCTTGATGTCCGGACCAGCTTTCGCACCACCTCCCACCTGCTACTGGTACCAAGGCTAGGACAGATAAAAAGAAAACCCAGTGTTTTTTGTCTTAGTTGGAATTTGAACATGAGACTTCATTGACCACTACGCTACACTATGCCCAACCCAATTACCCTAAAACTAGCGAGAAGTCCAACTGTAAAGTGACAATTTTCAGCTATAAGTAAACACAGAAAATGAAATTGGACAACAATAACATATAATGGTGATATTTGCATTCATTCATTCACCCATCCATCAACACAAATATAAAGTATTTAAGACTGAAATGGAAATCAAATTACCTGTTGGGATTCGGAAATTGGTGTTCCATAATATTGATTTGAGCTTTATCAACAACTAATTTCACTTGTGGCTACAGAAATTTCAACTTTAGGGTTCGATTTCCACCTCGTAATACTCTTACCCAATTCCCCGGAGACCAAATATGTGAACGCCGTCAGAACTGTAACTCAGCATTTCCGCCACCCTTCTGTCAATCTGGTGGGATAGTTCAACTCAGCCGTAATACATCTTTAACTGTCACCTCTAACTTTGGAGGTATACGTACACATTTAAATTTGTATAAAACTTAATAAATAGGCACACGTATTCTAAATGTCAGCATATATGTAAGACGCACATAAGGCACAAAATTATCACGTGGATTAATATGTTTATTTATTTAATTATTTATTTATATACTATTATGATGTTACAATGTGACAAAATAATAAAAGTGAACAATAGAAAGAGAGACAGAAACGAAGATTTTTAATTTTCTTTGGGGATGGAAAAATAAATTTGGCACATGTATTAATTTTTCTTCAAAAAAAATAAATAGATAATTCATTATAAATTTATAATATATAAAATTTATTTATAGCACTCCCCTTAATTCGTTAAAATTTTACTAAAAAGATTTTAATAAGTAATGTGCAATGACATATAAATATTCTTTTATCATTTTTATAGGTTCGATTGGGCGACTAAGTGATGTTAGGGTCATCCATATTCACTATTCACAAAAGAGTCAATACTATTCTTTCATGTAACCTTAGTTATCTAATATTGAGCTTAAATAGTATCCCATAATTTATATTTTCAAACAAGATATACACGTGCAATGCACGTGACGAAATTAGTTTATAGATAAATATAAGATCGAATATTATCTATACAGTCCTATTATTATACAAATAATATTACACAAGCAACCTTTTCGCAACTCAATAATCGATGCAGGTCAAACGAGTTAATTAAGGCTTTTTATTTGCTTGGAATGCTAACTGTTCACCTTTTTTACAATACAGACATGAAGACTCAAAAAAAAATAAAAAAATATGATGAACGTGAAGGCATTTAAAAATACTGTTTGATCGTCAATGAAGTCGGAATATGATAAATAAATATTTATTATAATGTTATATGATATATCGGCTATATTGTTTGTCGTAATACATTCATAATCATTCTTAAAAATGAGAAAAATGTCTTTTAATGGAAGTAGCGAAAGCAAAAGTCTACAAATAGTATTTCACATTATTACTTGTATCATCTCCACCCTCCAACACACCTCGTTTTCATTTTCACTAGGGTATCCCCGTCCCATTACCCCACCCCATCTCTCATTATATATATTTATATTATATACAAACATTTTTACTTCCCTACCATATACAAGAAAACAATAAAGAAAGATTCACTTATTTTCCTAGAATAAAAGATACGTATGTTTTAAGAAAACATTTTCCTTAATATAAAACAAATTCTTGGTGTGAGGTTTGTGTAGATGAATTGAATGAGTAGAGAACAAAAATAGAGTCAAATTTGAAGGGATCCAAAATTCAATTTTGTCATGCGTAATGAAAACTACTACCTACATAATTATTATAGACTATAGTCAATAACACTTCTTTTAAAAACTCTTCTATTACACACTATACTCTTGTCAATTTTAAAAAAGATAGCAAAATAATAGGGAACGTCTTCAATACACGTTACCTCCTCCATTCCAATATATAGTATGTGTTTTACACGTGTGTCTCACGTCAATTCATAAAATTTAATATAAGAAAAATAAAATTAATTAAAATGATAATTGATGTTAAAATAAATATTATACATATCTAAATGATAATGATTTCATATAAGAAGGTGAAAAAAGTTAGTTAAAATAACATGACGTAACCTTTTTTTTGTTCTTAAAAAAAAATTAATTTAAGTTGTTGATTATTGTGATTTATTACTTTTAATGTAATTTGCAAATATATAAATTATTCAAAATGACTTTTTAATTATTAGAAATGTATTTCTTCCCTCTATTTCAATTTATGTGGCGCAAATGAAATTTGAAGAGTCGGTCAAATTTTTATTTGACAATAATTTTATA